AATCTGTTCATCTCCTCTTGAGTACACGTTGCCATCGACAGTCATGGAGCCCGAGTCGGAGGGATTGTCAGAGTCGCTGTCGCACTCCATCATCTCCTCCTCTTTCTCGGTCAGAGCCCCTTCACCCACCTGGACATGAACTGGAGCGCCTGCACTGCAGCCTTCGTCGCCTGCTCCGCTACAGTGCTCAGTTCCTGCTGCTACTGCTTCCTCTTCTCTTCTCCTTTCCTTTCCTTAGCCTTTTCTCCATCACCCTCTCCTTTCCTCCGCTCCTTCTTTTTCCAACCGCCCAGTCATCTTCTGAGATTCTTCGTTCCCCTCTTCACTGGTCCCCTTTGCTCTAATACTTTGCTCCACTCCTGTTCTCCATTCTCATCTTCATCTTCACCCAGCCTGCCTTCTGCTCCTTTAATACCCTCCTCCCTGCCCTTGGCACCTATTCCCTCTTCCACACCTCTCTCCTCTTCCACTTCAACGATTATGCACCCGTCTTTTCGATCTCTCTTCCCCGTTTCTTACTCCCACTCTCCTTAACTTTCTGCACTATAATAATCTATTGCATCTCTGAACATTACTACTATAATCGTTATTATTTTATTATATATTGTATATATCCCAGTAGTGCGCTGCCTCACAGACCTAGACTACGTAGCACTCCATGTGTCCATGCGCTGCCTGCTGTTTGGGCATGATATGAAAAGGAAAAGGCTAATGGTGCATCTTCTGTGACTGTGTTATGGTAGTTTAAAACGGACGTTGACATGATGTTGGCGAGGGTACTCATGTACCTCGTATAATCCGGGTTTAAAATCCCTATTTTTGTAAGCGTGAATGAGCTGTCTCATTGATGCAGTAAATATGCAGCAGCTAGCTAGTAAGTTACGGTACACCCAATAACGTGCTTAGCATTCGTTCAAAACTTAGTCTTTTTTGTTCAAGACCTCGTCATTTTTGGGTAAACGAGGCAACCCTCGGTATCATTTTGTTGTTGCTAGTTGCGCATCATTGGTTGTCTTGCGCCTGCTTAGATGCTGTCAATCAAAACAAGGGGGGCTACTGTGATTGGATGTCGTGCAGGCAGCGCGCACGCTCTCTGCACACATACAGGTGGTGCACATTGTTTCACAGATGCAGATAAACTGAGAGCGGCGCGCCGTGTGAAAATGATTTTCATGGAAGTAGCAAGTCTTCTCGAGTCAAAAGGCGCAAGTCCAAGTGAAGTCACGAGTCATTGATGTTAAAGTCCAAGTCGAGTTTCAAGTCTTTGTACATTTTGTCGAGTCGAGTCTGAAGTCAAATTCATGACGCGAGTCTGACTCGAGTCCACACCTCTGCTACGAACAAATAAAACAAAAAGAACAACTCTCAAATTCTATTCATTAATCTTGTATCCTCTAAATATGCCAAAATAAGTTCCCAAAACTTATCCCTAAAGCCCTTCTTCAGTACATCATGTAGGATATTGGAAACAAGTTGACGATCCGGTTCATAAAATTAATAAAAATGCATATAGTGTACACCAGAATACAGCCATGATTCTGAAACTGTGTAATCAATATTGTAAAACCACTGTAATTCTGCAACTGTAATAGAATAATACCAATGTAGTTATGATTGTATTTGATGTAATATAATCAACTGGAATGCATGCATGTAATACTTGAACAACAACTGATATTGACTGAGGATCATTCGAAATCCGAGTTACATTGAACTCACCAGAAGACTCCCAGAGGTGTGGACACTAACTTTCACACCTTTAAGCATTGTTATAAATACCTGTAGGAACCATTGTTCTGGAGTTCACTGGTGGAGGCGACAGACGGGCACTAGGGATGGTCAAAGGACTGACCTGGGGCCTGTTGGTTGCGGAGACCAGCGGCTCCTCAGCTGAGATGTTCTTTTTACCACAACGCCATCTCCTTTATTAAATACATTTGATTTTAACCTTTTGATCAGCGATGACCTCTGTCCGTCCGGCGTTTCTTCATTTTTGAACACAACAATCACTTATATTTACCACTCCCAGGTCTCTTAGCCCACTTCTCAGGACATCTCTCTCTGCCTCGTACCTCTGACATGCCATCAAAACATGGTCCAGTTTCCTCTACTTATCGCACCTTCCATTACGATGTTTCCCAACCACAGAGGGAACTGTTAAGACCAGTATGGCCATTTCCTATTCTTGTCATTACCCTCTCCGCTTTTCTCTTTTGTCCACTAGCTCCTGCACTCCCAACAAATGGTTTGTTTTTAAAAAGATTTTAGATTCTTTGTTCCATTCATTCTGCCATATCTTTTTGATTTGTCCCTTAATCACCCCTTTAGCCTCTGACTTACTCATCTTTATATTGACTATATTTCTCCCACTCTTCAGCGCCCTTTTTGCTGCTTTATCCACCTCCTCATTTTTATCGACTCCAACATGGGCAGGGACCCACACAAACCTTACTGCCATCTGCATTTGATGGATTATGAATAGAGATTGTAGAATTTCAAACATTACATTTTCTCTGCTTCTGGAGTGGCAAAACTTCCCTACTCGTTAGCACGGCACATGAGTCTGATGCTATAACCTCTCTCTCTGGCCTGACGTCCTCTACCCACCGTAGAGAAACACCGTAGAGATACAGCACCCGGGCAAGATCAATTATGTTATGAGTTAATATAACGACTGTTTAATACAATTTGGAGGGATGGAATAATACCACACAGTTGGAAAAGTGCAGTAATATTACCATTCAACAAGCCTGGTAAGGACCCAGCTAATCCTGATATCTATAGGCCCATAGCATTGACATGAGGATACAAGTTCGTAGATTATCACATATATTGGAACAGAGAGGATTACTGACCAATATACAAAGTGGATTTAGAAAAGGGCGCTCCACAACAGATGATCTAGTTAGAGTAAGTAATGATGTGGAAAAGGCATTGAAAATGAAAGAACTAATGTCAATTGTATATTTTGAGATAGGAAAGGCATGTTAATGGGTGCATAGTTAATACTCTGGCGGGGAACAAGGGGAAGAGGCAGTATGTGTGGGTGAAGAAAGGGTTGGAAAGGGAAAAAGGAGGAGGAGAAGGATACCCGGCTCATGACAAGTCACATTTACTTTAAAAAGATAAAGTGAATGTTACCTCTTTACAGTGCAAGCTTAGAAATATTGATTGGCAGGTGCATTTTAATGAATTTTGTTTTCCCAATTTTTGAGACAAATTTGGAAATATTGATGCATTTAAGCAAAAATAAAAATAAACATTTGAATTGCTAAACATGTGTTGACCCATTACACACGGGTCCTTCAGTCATTTCCCCCAATTCAGTTTTGTCCCTGATTTGCTGGCTAAAGTGCTGAACAATCCATTTCTTAATATTCACCATTTAACATTATTAATTGCAGTTTTTGTATTTAGATGAGCGCTTATGGATGTAAGGAACACCAATGAACACTTTTGGCATGACATGAAAAGACAGCAAGGGGTCGACTTGAAACCATAACTTTCAGCAGGTAACACTAGTTAATTTTTCTTCCGATCAGTTTGTTTTCCAGGTGATGAGGTCTCCGGAAGTTCAACCTGTCAAGTGCCACAGGTACACTAGTCAAGTTAAAAAGTAGAAGTCAATTTAGTAAAGCCAGCAGCTTTCAGATGACCTCAGTCAAACGTCATCAGGATATCTAGGTTGAGCTAGTAGCTGCTGTCGATGTATAGTGTAGTGGAGAGGCCGTAATGCATGTTTGGTGCCACTGGCTACTTTGGCATACTACTTTTAAAAGGAAAAACATCTAGAACTGCTATAACATAAGAAAGTTGTTACATTCAACCAACGCGTTGGCTCCAATGAAATGCATTTTTAAAATACTGTAACGCGTCTTTATCGTGACAATTTTATAGATCAACATGTGCAGCCAAAAATATTTGAAATGCTGACACAAAAAAGTACGGTATATAGTGTGCAAAGGCTATAATCAAATTGCATGAACATCGTTTTGCAAGCTTCGACTGATGGAGTGCTCGAGATCATGGCGTTAAAAGCTCGTGAGAGAGAACGGGAGCTTCACCAACTGATTTAAGGGGCATATGAACGAGAGTGGAGGAGGCAGACAGAGGAGGGAATGTGATTCAGAGAGTGATGTGAGCTTTTTGGTGAAGGGATGAGTGTTCAGGCTACAATTAGATAGGGAAGAATGGTAATGTTATGACTGTAGATGAGAGCCTCACTGATGTTTTAGAATGATCTCTCACAAGGCACAAGAGAAATGAGTTGGGTCTAGGCGGTAAATGATTGTGAAAAAATTGGCATCTTTGGCTTTTTGTTTGTTTTGTTGTCTGTGAATCCATTTTTAAAGTTGACGCTTCGTTGATTATTCTGGGATCTCATGTGGTTCTTAAGTCTTAAGCTCTGGGGTGTGTATGTTTTCCAATAATCAAGGAAACGTGACACGACCTGGAAATTTCCTCTAAACGGTAAAAAGAGAGGGTCATGTACTTGGGGCTAAAGACTTCTTCTGATCTTCTTTTGTAGCCGCCCGCTCGTCTGGCTTCCAGTAGTGTTCTGTTGTTTTCTTCTTGCAGGAGCTCGGCTGGTACAAAGTAACTGGCTGCACCTGACGAGGGACCGGTCCAAGGTACGATATGCACTTTCACAGTAATAAATAAAACGGCTCTTCTGATGTGGTTTGTGGTGTTAATGTGTAACTAGCGTTCTCATGAACTCACTACCTTAACTTCCATGTTGCTACACTCCATTATTTTTTCTTTTTAGTTGAATACATAAATTTGGCATTTGAAACTATAGTCAATTTGAGCAAATGGGATCTAATCCAGGATTAGATTAGTCAGATTGCTAGCATATCATCTGCTACAGCTGTGTATTCCCTTTGTATGCTAACCCTCTTACTGCCTGCTGTTTTTTGGCCTCCGCTCCAAAAACGGCTCACCCATAATAAAAGTTTGCATAACTAACTTGCATGAAGAGGAAGAGGCAGATCAATGTCGCTAAATGACGACATTGATCTGAAATTTATCTGATTCCAAAAAAGGAACCTGCCTCTTGACACTTTTTGGTCTCGGCGTCATTTAAGCTTCGTGTTCTAACGCTTAAACAGTGTTTAATCCAGAACATCCGTGAAAATCAACAAAGGTAAAACAATTAGGATTTTTTCACTTCAATGGCTTGGTGGCATGGTTTGTCTGAGAGAAATGAGACAGTAATCCCCGGAATCAGGGCTTGTGCCGTTTGTTTTTGAAACTTTTGTCCGACTGAGTGCAAAATTAATTTGCATGCAGTTATTCCACTGGCTACGGTTGTGTTTAAAGTATTTCCAATTGGATTTCTTTGGAGCCAAATCCAGGTCAAAAGTTTTGATAATTTGAAAAATAAATGTGAATCTGAAAGTTGTTGTGACACAAGCTGTGGAAACCTCTGACTTAATTTAATCTTGTGAAACTGAATTATATCTACGGACCCTGCGGGCACTTGTCCCACACTTTTACCTTGTCCCGTCGCATAATGTGACTTTAAAATGAAAAGCTTTACAGAGCCAAACTTGGTGTCATTTTTCTCTTTTATGGGTGATAACTTCAAATGAAACTAGGACATTCGTTGTTGTGTGAAATTTTTGCAGTTGAATTTTTTGCAGTAGTATATATTACATTGAAAAACATTCAGATACATGATTTCAATGCATAAATATTCAGTGCTAGAAATTCAATCACCTTTGTCTTTGAAAATCCGATGACACAGATTTACTTCCATATTTCCCTAATTTCTTTATTTTGTTGTTGTTTGGTCATTTGGTCAACAAATGAAATTGCACCCGAGTGCAAAGTATCTGTGGAGAGGTTAAAAGGGTCACGGGATGGTTTGTCGGGATCTCTGATCCCCCCGAGTTGGTTGATGAGAAGGATCGCAACACGTTGATCAATAAAGTCAAAAGTTAATATTTATTTAGAAGAGAAAACGATTACATGAGCAGTTCTCCGCGGATATATCTGGCTCTAACTATTGCTTGCAAGCAGGAGGTCGAATAAACCAGCACGTATTGGTGTAAATGGCGTCTCCGAGCAGTAAAAACGCAGAGTTTTTATACACACATGTGAAAGCCATCCTCAGTGGCAAGTGCGAATTATAAATATTAGATAAAAAAGTAGAAACATGGATATGAAAACTTTCATACGAAATAAGTTATGAACCAAAGCCATGAACAGAAGTCCCTTTGATGAAGCGTCTATGAGATTGAGTCGACCGCCCTCCTTTCTCAGGACACAGCTGCAAACTAACATTTTGTATCATCCTGCTCTTTGCACGTCAGTGTCAAATACAGACACTTGAGACACGGGTTTAGCACAAGACAATATTATAACATATTTTTACCATTACATGCATCTCACAGGTTCCACATGTTGACAACGACAAAGAAACACACACGTCGTCAAGAAAAATGTATTTACAATTTATGGATTTAAATGGCAAGCATTTGCCATTTAAGCCAACGGAAGACAGATGTTGTAGATTTTACTCTTGTGAGTATTATAGTGGGCAGTCCATGTTCTTCAGTTTATCTTTATTAGTGCGATTGCTGGAAATCAGATGCAGTCCAATCTATGGAATTCTTAGGTTATCATTTATCTATTCTTTTTAAACATTGAGGACATTTTTGGAATAACATTCTGTCTGACCATTTTAGACTTAATTCTTTTTCAAATGCAATATACTTGGTAATCTTTCAAACAATGTATTTTTCGACTGACATGAGCCTCAACGCAGTAGGAGCACCACCCAGCCGACACATTGACTTCAATGGGGTGCCTTCTCTGTCACACACCCAGACGCACTGGCAGGGGTGGTGGTACAGGTTTACTAATTTTACCCAAATGGAGCTTTTCCCTTTACCCTCTTTCACCTTCCAGCTTACTGTCTTTCAAATTCCATGCTGTGACAGTCAGTCACCCGGTACAATTATATATTGTTGTTCTCTACTGTCTGTCATTTCTTGGAAGAATTGGACATCATACGGTCCATCTTCCCTGAAAATGGCCCTGCACTTATCCTCCTGGGCAACTTTAACATTCAGACAGAGTCATCTGACCTCTTAATCCTACTTTCTTCATTTGCACTGTTACTCAGTCCCTCTCCTCCCAGCCGGCAATCACCTTCACTGTAAAATGTGATTTTACAGGTTAGTTATATAATAAGTATTATTCTAAAGATTTATGTCTAAAGATTGTTGAAGTTGTTATGATAACACAAAATTACTAGTTATCAACTTCTCAATGACAAAACAAATGTTAACCTGAAAATTCACATTCAACTGAATAAGTAATGTAAATCAACTTGACCAAAGGAGGTCGTCATCACGTTTTTGTGTCTGTTACCAAAGTGCATTATGGGGAATTGGCAGGCAACGTTGACTTTCCTCCCCTCTTGCACCTGGTTCAGTTGGACCAGGCTTGGCTAACGCCGGGGTCTTGGACTTTTTTCGAGGTGAGTGAAATCCTAATGTTAAGTGTTTATATATATATATATATATATATATATATATATATATATATATATATATATATATATATAGTTAAATTACGTTATTGCCTGTGTCCGTCATGCTACATTAGCGGCTGGTTTGAATTCGTATTCAAATACGGATTTCCTGTGCTTCTCGGCTGGTCCGAGATGATAGCTAGTTAGCTAACATGTGAACGCACTTCCCGTTGCATTGTTGAATTAACTTAGCTAACTTAACTCAAAACCACGGTATTCAAATACTGGCCTCCTGTGGTTCTCAGCTATTCCAGGAGTAGCGCCTCATGTTTCGGGATTAAGCGTGCCGTCATTTGCATCTCCATGACATTTATTTTTTGTGTTCATTCGTTGTGTGTAAACCCGGTATTTCTGCATAGTTGCAGATAAAGATTAACGTTTGCTACACTATCGTTCTGACAGGGTTCGTGTGATTCATTTAAGATACGTTTGAAATAATTTATATGGTTTTAAAGAGAGATGCTCTAAATATGAGCAGGACGCTCTCATTCTCGCAGCTCAAATAGTTCGCACCGTACTTGTTTGAACGCACCTTTACTGAAAAGTTCGTAGCTCAGGAATCATCCACTGTGGCAAGTGTAGATTTAACCGTGGTTAGCTACATATGGAAAAGTGTGTGTCATAAGTTACTTGTATGGTGGCAAATCACTGTCAATTTGAGAGCGCAAATCAGGTAACGTCCATCTCGCGCAAGATATTTGCTCGCTTGCGGAACGTGAACTTCTTTGCTCGCGAGGCTAATCTAAGGTTTTCTACGCGGTTGCTGTTGTTGTTTTTGACAGTAAAGGGGCGGAGCCAGTCACCATGGTATCTCTACATCTAATTGGTTACAAACTACGTTTTTGGATTGGCTGGAGTTATGCATTCACAGAACTATAGAAGCCCATTCCTGCACAAAAGAAAGGGGATATAAAGTCGAAATTATGAGATAAAACGTTGTCAAAACACAAACAACACCTCTCTGTAACCGTAGTGGACCGTAGATGACAACCGGCTACAACACTAATTTACCATCATTACCGCCACTTCGGCCGCACATTAAGACCGATGGTCCAGCTCGCAGACCGGTCCGTCAGTCTGAATCTGTGACACAGTATTCACCCTACCTTAAAGAGCCATCCTTCTTGGTGACCAGAACGGGCTGCACTAAGCACTATTCTACTCCTCTATTTACCCCATCTCCAGCATTTGCAGCCGATTCTCTCTGAACAATTTCCCTCTTGTGTTCACGTAACCTGTAGGGCCGCGACCGCACCGTCACCCCCTGGGACGTTTCAATTTGATGCACTATGAGTGACCACCAACAGCCCTTGCTACTTGGTGAGTAGTTTTGAGCTAGAAGAAGGAAGCAATACAAGTACTTTTTCTCGATGCAAATTGTCTCAGCTTGGTTCCTCTGTTGTACAGCCATTGTTGACGTTCTTGGGCCTGGAGCAAAAGTCTCACGTGACAACCCAGTGTGTGGAGTTTGGCTTGCAGGTCCAGTACGTACTGAATCTCGTTCTTACCGGGGCTCGGACCCTCCTCCCAGTGTTCTTTAAACAGGTCGAGCACCCCCAGTGGTTAACTGTCGAACAGCAGCTCGAAGGGAGAAAATCCAGTGGAGGCCTGGGGAACCTCCCGTACTGCAACAGACAACAGACTTAACCTGCAGCAATCGTATATACAATCACATACAAGAAACAGACAGAAGTAATGACATAAAAAGTGACAAAATGCAATTAATAAATTATTTTATGGAGAACAACAACGCAACTACCTACAACGCAACTTCTGGAGAAGGGGTAGGTAGATCTGCTCATGGGTGTACATTTGCATCACATAGGTAAATCTTTGTTACACACACTATGTTAGCTGGGCGGGGGTCACCCCTGTAGTTTTGGCCATAGAGAGGTAAGCTGGTTAGGGATAGACTGTGTTAGGCAGGGAGAGGTGTGTAGAAAAGGGACATTTTGTTTATTTCATTACTTTGACCCCAGTCCCAAAATCCCCTTCTCCTCCTTCCTTGGTTGTGTGTGCACTTTTTTGTGTTCTGTCTAAATTACTAAATGTCCCACAAGGACAAAAAGTGAGTTTCGGGTGTCATGCCTCTTTATTTTTGGTCGGCTGCACCCCACACTACTTCACCATCCACTGCTGGTTACACTGGGTGCGCAAGCACAGGCGTTTACGTTCCCCACTTCCAACGAGCTCCAACTGAGGTGGAAACGTAACAAGGAGTAAAAGGTCAGATGACTTCTTCGTCTGGATGTTGAAGTCATGAGGACTTCACTGACCTACTAAACACTATTACACTCATAACATAACAGGTTGACTTTAGATTTTTCTCAGTACTTTAGAATATTTTATGAGATGCAGCAAGCAGTTGCCTCTCGCCAGAGAGTTGATTTATGGAGCCAAATGAGGTTTGATCATTTGAAAATGGAACCTGAAAGTGTGATTTTTGGTGTTGAATTTTGTATAAAACATAAAAATACAACAAATAATTTTAAAAAATCTATATGTGAAGAGTGAAAAAGAATATTTTATTTTATTTAAAAAAATAACTGAGTCAAAACTGTATTTAACCCAAAAATATTTTACGTCCACTGCTTGTGTCCTTCTGCTAACTACAGTTTCTATACTTTTACTATTGGTGCTGTAGAATCTTTCAAAAGCCATTAGGAATAATGACAACTTTAAGGAACCAGACTTTTTATTCAGATTGTCTGTACCATTTATTTTTGATAGTTTGAGCGAATCATTCAACATTTAACATTTTTTACCAACTTTAATGGACTAGTGTCTGCTGAAGTTTGTAACGAGTAATATTGCACGTGATCGACGTAGCCTGGAAAGGTCATAGCTAGGAGTACGAGGTCAGACTGCACAGGTCCAACCATGTGACTGAAGAAACCTCCATCCAGCGACATCTTCAAAACTAGATGTTCCCAAACTGTATATTAGTAAATGTAAGTTTAAGATCGTTAACAATTATCCACAGCTTTCAGAATTTTGTTATTGTACATAGAAGTATTGTGGTTGAAATATCTAGGCGTACTGCTGAACGCTGCTGCTAGAGTTCTAACAAAGACCAAAAAATGTGAGCACATTACACCAATTCTTAAATCCTTACATTGGCTCCCAGTATGTCAGAGAATTCATTTCAAAATCCTACTGCTCACATATAAATCACTACATGGTTTAGGGCCAAAGTATATCACTGATATGCTTCCACTACATAAGCCTTCAAGATCACAAAGATCTTCTGACACCAATCTGTTAGTGATTCCCAGAGTAAATACAAATCATGGGAAAGCATCATTTAGTTACTACGCAACAAACAGCTGGAATAAACTTCCTGAAGATTTAAGACTTGCTCCAACTCTGACCACGTTTAAAACAAGACTGAAAACGTTTATGTTCAGCTTCGCCTTCTGCTAAATTTTACCTACATTGCACTTTTAACCTCTGCTTTTAATTAAACAATTTAAATACGATTTTAATTTATCATTTTATTTGCTGTTTTTAATTGTCTTTTAATTCCTGCATTTTATTTCACTTTATTGTATGAAATGTTATAATGTGAAGCACTTTGAGTCTGCCTTGTGTATGAAAAGTGCTATACAAATAAAATTGCCTTGCTGTGTGCAGTCATAATACTCTATTGTTACTGTATTTGTTTTTGACTGTGACGTAGATCCAGGATCCAACTCCGTGCAGTCACTAAAAAAACCCTGAAATTCAAGCACACAGAACATTGAGTCGGTAAACCGGGGAGATCAAGTGACGGATCATGATCTGATAATTAGGATCTTTGCTCAGGTAAGTCACATGAAACGCTTAAAGTAAATGTAAAAGTTTATTTTAATCCAAAATTAGTATAAGTTACATTGTAATTTCTGTAGATGTGTGAAATTGTATTTTACCTCTACTACTTCTGCTTCACCACATTTCACTGGAAACTTTCTACTTGCTACATCACGCTACATTTATCCAAATGTGTTTTAATATTGGATACTTTGGCAATTTAATATTTACATATAGTTTTAAAAATACATGACCATGTTTATAGAATCAAAGAATCTATTAAAATACACCTGAACTAGTTGGAGCCAGAAGCAGATTTTAGACTACATCAAAGATTTATTACAAAAAAAGAGATAAGAGAGAGAGAGATAAAAAAACAGTTTTGCCATATTTGCTCATACTGTCGGTACACATACCAGTCATGCGTCAAGGCCACTCAAAGGTTGTGATCTTTTGAGTGGGAATATGTAGTTAAAAGATGACATAATGAAAGAGGGGGGCTCTGTGCACATCTGAGTGCCGGGCCATCATGTTCTTTTCCCAAGAACATAGTTATGCCCCACAAGTCACCAGGACGTCATCTGGGATGTGGAGACATCTTCTATCAGCTGACATGACATAAACAGTTATCATTGCAAGAGGGTGCATTCTGTGATATTAAGAGCTCTGCTGACTATGACATTATTGCAGTTTTTCCAAAAATGTCACAGTATCCTGACATTAATAGACATTAATCTTGTTTTTTCAGTGGCGGTTTTTCACATCCACAAGACAAATTTGAGCAATTTGCATTGCATGTCTTACGGTCACATTATGGACAGACCTTACAGTAACTGCAAAGGCTGGCGCATGCTTCTGCATCTTCACGCACCGTTGTGTTGACACACTACTTTCAATTCATGGTTCTAAAAGGCTTGCGTGTGTTGCAGAGCAATTCACCGGCAGAACAATAGGTGCAGTAACGTTTTTTGTTGAAGACGACCTAGAGAGTCACGTCTTTGTGCGTGGAAGTCATTGGTTTGTTTATTTTTTATTTATCATAGACTTTATTGCCCCGTGCATCGCCACTGCTGCTTTTCATCATGGACACTGTTCCGTTTTCTCCCCAGGGAAAGAGCAACCCGGCATACATAGGACATTACTCAGGATTCCTCATTTGTTTGTTTATTTTGTTCAAAAGGGAACCAGTTAATAAACCTGGAATAATAAGAAATGCAATGTTTCAATTTCAATGTGCATACTACAACCAACACAGCTCCCCAGTTCTTTATCTTAATAACAATATTTAAAATACAAATAAACATTATTAATAAACAATAATAATAATAATTCACCATCATCATAGTTTCATTATTTGCATGTACATTCAAACATTATGCACCATATTCACAATGCATGCAGTCTTTCCTTAGCAGGAAACTACCGCTGGAAACTACAACTCCCAAAATGCCCCACGGGAAACCAGGAAGTACCTACGTTACATACCAGTCCGCGTTTCATACTTTAAACATATAAAGCTAAAGAAAGTAAACACAGCAGCAACATATTATGGAGACATCAGACAACATGAAGCGTACATCATAAAGCAGACAAGAAAACATTGGACATTGAGAGAGCTTACCAAGTGGCTGCAGACAGGGTTAAAATCATTATATTAACATCATTATAACTGGGTACTCTTTCAGTCCACCTCCAGCAGTGCAGATTATGGTTGAGGCTTTGTTGGAAAATGCCATTCTGAATTCTGCTCTTAGTTCCGGAGTGACTTTCGCCAGGAGCTCCTCTAGCTTGCTGGTCAGCCCGAGGCCTTTCCTCTCCATCCTTTTGGTACCTTGCTCCTCGTGGCCAGCATCTTTCTCTTGAGCGATGCACTTGGGGCAGAGCAGATAGTGGTGAGGCTCTTCTTTACGGCAGTCCATTTTACTGCAGAGGAACTTTGAGTTGCAACGGCCATCCTTCAGGTGGAAGCACAGGCACCGATTGCATATTCCATGGGTCTTCAGATGGGCCTTTCTCTTCTGGAGATCCATTTCCCTGAAGACTTTGCAGACAAACAGCCTGCCAGCGTGTGTCTCATCGGCACAGGCTGTGCACGAGTCCAAGCGTGGTTTCAACTGAGACAACACTCTTTGGCCTGAGGTAGCCTTGGAGAATGCTTTCTTGACTCCTCTTTCTGGCTTGTCTGCTGGGCCTTTAACTGAGGAGCTTCCTTCTCTTGGGTTTGGCTCCAGCTGATCCAGCTCTTTCAGGATTGCTACCTGCTTCTTCAGGAAGCGCAGTAAGCAGTCAAAGTGGTTATGTGGAGCGAAACTGCTCACAGGCTTGGTCTTGTGCTTAATCCATTTCTCCTTCAGAGAGATTGGTAGCTTGCTTTCAAGGGACTGTGCTACCCAACGGTTCCTTAGAACCTCCTCCTCCCCCAGGATCACAAAGAGCCTGCTCCACTGCTTGGATCAGCTCAATTGCTTTTCTAGGATTATCTCCGTTCACAAGGGTTAGGCCCTGAACCTCTTCTGAGATCTTCAGAACGATTTTTCGCCTTGTTCCCAAAGCGGTTGTCGAGGCGCCTGAACATTTCATCTGCCGACGCACAGCTGGACAGAACCAAGTCTCTCTTCACCCTGTCGCTGAGACTTGCTAAGAGGTGGAACCTTGTAACACCAGCCGTCCTCTGTGGGTTCCCCAGCTGTTCGAGCTCTTCCCACTCAGCCTTCCACCGATAATAGTCGGTCATGTCTCCCGAGAACGTGGGCAGGTGCGTTCTTTCAAGACTGATCTGTGGTCTGAAGCCATAAGCCCCGGGATGCACGCCAAGGGTGCTTTCTGGTGGAGTATTTGAAACCGCAGGAGCTCTGGTGGGCACATGCGTTACACTGGGGTCTTCAGGGGTTTTTGGGGGCCTTTGGGGGTGCGTGCCGGACTCGCTACGTTCTTCATCAGAACTTGCTTCTTCAACCTCTTCCTTCCGCTTCATCTTTTCCCAGCTCCGCACCCAGTCATGTAGTCTGTTGACCAGCTTGTATAGCTGCTGCTTGTAGAGTGTTATCTTGGCTCCAGAGACAAGACATTCCCATTCAAGCACTTTCAGTTCAAGCATTTTGATTCTCTCCAGCAGATCCTCTCTCAGGACTTGAAAGTCTTCCTCCGGCAACTCTTTCACTTCAATGTTCTCCATTTCAGCACATTTCTCCTCTGCACCATCAGCGTTCAATTGAAGGTCAACATAGGCGAATTTATTCCATAACGTCTCCTTAGCGAGCTGGAGTGTTTCTGTATAGGTGGCAAGGCATGTCGCCATCTTCTCCCCTACGTGAGCCACTTCTCTACTTGATTTTTCTTCCTCGCTTTCCACTTCTCCTAGGGCATCAACATATTCGAGACCAGTGTCGTGGAACTTTCCAAAGTCCACACCAAGTGCTCTGATCTCGTCGATAAGCACCCTTTTTTCTAGGAGGTCTTCAGTGAGGGACAGCTTTTTGGCTAATTCTGCTGAAACCATCTTCCTTTCCCTGCACTGACCGAGGCGCTGCTGCACAGAGGGGTCTATTAGGCCTTTTCCTTTGGTGTTTCTTCGCTGGTCAATGCTGCTAGGGCGGTTGCGGACTTAGCTTGATGTGCTCCGAACCGTTGGTTTATTACTGTTCCGTTTTCTCCCCAGGGAAAGGGCAACCCGGCATACATAGGACATTACTCAGGATTCCTCATTTGTTTTTTATTTTCTCATTTATTTTGTTCAAAAGGGAACCAAGTAATAAACCTGGAATAATAAGAAATGCAATGTTTCAATTTCCATGTGCATACTACAACCAACACAGCTCCCCAGTTCTTTATCTTAATAACAATATTCAAAATACAAATAAACATTATTAATAAACAATAATAATAATTCACCATCATCATAGTTTCATTATTTGCATGTACATTCAAACATTATGCACCATATTCACAATGCATGAAGTCTTTCCTTAGCAGGAAACCACAACTCCCAAAATGCCCCACGGCAAACCAGGAAGTACCTACGTTACATACCAGTCCGCGTTTCATACTTTAAACATATAAAGCAGACAAGAACACATCGGACATTAAGAGAGCTTACCAAGTGGCTGCAGACAGGGTTAAAAGTGCTTACAAACTAAGTGAATCTCACGCTTCCTTTTCACGTAGTAAACACTAGTCACGTGTCCTCACAGCACACTCCTCTCTTAAAGGGGCACTACACTATTGCGCTGCTAAACCTCAAAGTTTCTCCATAAGTGTTACTGGCATTTATATGTATAGCTCTGGCAGGTAAACATTTGATTTGATACATGTAAATAAGAAATAACAAAACTTATTAAACTTACGAATTAAAAAACTCAGAAAACACAACAGACACATTTGTCCCGTATTATCCTCCACAACTTTGTTCCCCTCGACCGGCAAACCGGCTTTTGCGGAGATCTCCTTCCATAAATCCTGCCATCCGCGCGTCCTTATAGTCCGCTAATGACGGCTTGTAGAAGTGGTCATATTTACGGATTTCTTCCGACAAAAGCTCTTCAATCTGATTCGTTCTCTTGTAAACATTCTTCGTTTTAATAATGGCGGTATGGTGCTATGGAAACGGAAATGTGAGACTTTGGAAAGGATGTAGTTAGCAGACCAATGGGAGCCTTGTGCGCTGCGGGAGGGGACAGAAAAATGGGTCGACGCAGACAAAGCACGCAAAGAGGTGTGAAAAGGCACGCAAGGGACACTTACGGGGCTCTTGCGTCTGCGTGTCCTTGCGTCTGAAAACGCGGAAGCATAAACTAGGCTTAACACGACAACAATGGATAGCGTTTGGGGGTTCAGCACGGTCTCTACACCATGCGCCACAGTCGTCTCAACTTTCCAATTTAGAGTACATACACTGCATGAAGAGTGAGATTTTCGTCCCCGTAAACGCCCGGAAATCTCCCTAACTTCCGCCGTTTTCCGACAATTTGCAACCCGCACACGTCGCGTTTGTCTGTGCCACAAATTGTCGGAAACGAACCATGACGTAGGTGGAGAGCTGGCGGAGGTGCGAATGGCCCTAATTAGCATATGAATGCAGCGAAACCGCGAGTGGCCGAGCCGTGCGGGCTTGAATATCCTTACTCCTTATTGGATGAAACCACAACTTTCAAACAAGTAAAATCACTCGTGATTGGCAGCAAAACCACACCTGGGCAGACCAGGCTTGAGTTTCCTTGCTCATGATTGGATGAAACCACAACTTTCAAACAAGTAAAATCACTTGTGATTGGTCGGCAGATCTGTCGCTATTGGTCACCCGCCTCATTTTATTTATTTATATTTCTATATTCATATAATGCTGTATATTCATTTCATTGTTATCCTATGTAGGAATAATTCACACTACGCCTAGTGTGTGTGGCTCTGTATTTCTGAGTCGCCTCTTAGAGGCGTCTACGGAATGGCGGCGACCGTACAATCCACCCAGAGACCCCGCCAACAACGCCATCCTCTTTCCAGAGTTCCACCTCGTCATCAGCCAGCACACTTTGTCTCGATTCCAGCAGCTGTAAAAACAACAATGACTCAGTACTGTGCGATGCGATGCGTATGGACACATCTATCAATGCACCTGAAAAAAGTCAGCAAAACTCTTACCCTCTTCTCGCTCGACTCCGCGCTGAATTCTTCGCAGCTTCCGCCCGCAATGAGTGTTCCAGCTGGGAAAACCTGAAGCTCCTGCGTACCGTCTCAAAATACATCTTACAGGCGGCTGGAAAACAATTAAATGAGTGTGGTATGAATAAAAAAAAAATCAAACGCAAGTCACAGTAACATTTAACATGGAAGGAGAAACAGTAAACAGTGTCACTTACTCGCAATGACGTCTTTATCTAAACCGAAATCTGAACTTTTCCTGGAGCAAATACGAGGTCACCGCCTCATTATGAGGCGAGATTAGTCTGTGAAAACAAAATGTACAGTTATGATCGGTATCCATCCTATGGTATCTATACGTATATATTTCCTTATACCGCAGAATGAAAGCATATTCTTTAAATCTTACCCTTGCTCCGGTTCGTAGCGCCTGTAATTCATCTCGGAGTTGTGAAGACGGCTCACCGCTTCCTGTAAACGACACGGCAAAGAAAATACACTTTAATAAAGCTGTTCTGCTCACTTGTAAGGCTACCAGGCTACTCTTAGCTTTCGTTTTAGGCTACGCTACCTTTAGCTTAGCTTGCAGTCATCGAACATATTCTTACCGCTATCTTGGGCGCCCGTCTCCTCTTCTTTGAGTCAGTTCTTCCAGAGCCGCCAACCTCTCCTCTATGGACAGCAACCTGGAGAGTCCCGAACTAATGATTTGAAAGAATGACGGAGGCAGCGCTCGATACCCCCGTTGTCCACCCTCCCTCCCCGTCGGCCGTAGCATCCCTTAATTAGTTTCAAGTAAAAGCGGTGAAGAGGAATTGCCCGACATGTTAAACAGAATAAGAATGAGTGGGAAACGGACCACTTCAGGCACTGAATCAATTAAAATAATTTTATTTTGAATAGCCCAAAATCGCAAATTTGCCCCAGAGGGCTTCATGGTCTGTACGCATGGAATATCCTGTCCCAAAACCCTCATGTTGGCACGGAAAAAACTCCCCCCCCCAGAAAAAAAAAAAAAACCTTTGATGGGGAAAAAAGGGAAGAAACCTACAGTGCCATGATCTGCAGAGGACCACCACTGTTGCCCTGAAAGACAGTGGTTTGGAAAACGTCCTGGCTAAATTTCAGATGAGATTGTTGGCACATCAAACACACTGCGTCAAATGAGGGAGAGTAGAGAGCACAGCAAACTGCACGGGGACAGCAGAGATGTTAGTTCAAGATGTTCCATCCCGTGGAATTCTGCCTTGGAGATGATCAAATCTGTGTGTTTGTCAGGGGTGCGTGGAGAGGCAGGACTCAAACGCAGACTTTAGAAAATAAGACTTTAATGGTCAAAAGGGCAAAAGCAAAAGCCCAACAGGCAAAAACGCACACGAACCAGGGGAAAAACAGCAGGCAGGAACTACGAACATTCATGACGATAGACAATGACGCGACAAGTGACACAAGAGACACACGGCTTAAATACACTAGGGAGGTGCAGGTGGAAACGATTAGACGATCACAGGGGATGACAGGACAAGGCAGGAAGTGAAGTTACCCAGGGACACGAGTGGCAGAAAACTACAAAATAAGACAGGAAGTGAACCACACTGTCACAGTTTGTGTTTGGAAATAATATAACACAACAAGTGTGTAAGATACAGGCGGTCTGAGGTGATCACTCGTTAAAAGATTTAGTCTTCAGAAGAAAAGCCATCGAGATTAATTTAATAGAATTTAATTGAATTTTAAAATGTGAGATTAATTAGGTAATTCTTTTAACTCTATAGACACCTCTTGTATTTTTAAAAAAAATCTTTCATTATATACAGTTCCAGAGTAAGTCACCATTCATCACCATGAAGGCCACATCTTGGACAAGAAAGGGTTTCCACGCCATCTTCCTCTTTCTGACGGTCCTTGCCTTGATCTTTGTGCTACGTCACATGGAAGTGAAACGCTTGCAAGTAAGAACTTTTTATGAAGGGAGAACCTTGTTTCAATTATTTATTATTAGTCAAGTTTTGTGTCCTAATGTTCTTAATTTCAAATAAATGGAATCTGATTAAACTTGTACTTTCCCTCTCAATCCTGCACCTTGACTTGCTGACAGCAGCTCCTGCAGTCAAAGGATGAAACTGGCACCATTCTATAACTGACAAGCATAGCTAGGACTGTCAGGATTTGAAATTTTTGCATTTATTTGCGATATGCGATATTATTGCAATTTTCAAACCATTTCATGCCACTGATAACATGATGACAATATAATAGCATAATAATAAAAGTACGCTATTTCAAAGAACGTTTTATTTGTCAGAATAGTTAGACATAAGAATCGGAATGTGAAAAAATATATCCTATATTAATTAAAAAAAAATTCATCAATGAATGATAGGCAATGTCCGGTACAGAAAAAAATTTGAAGGTATAAGTTTAAGAGGGTCTTGCAGAGACGGAATTCTTTGAATGTAATCAAGGTTGTAAACTTTATTAGTAAACCAATTACTAGGCTTGGGGGCATTAAGATGCTGGCACACTTGATAGTTGGTACAAGACCAACATATGTACACAAGGGAAGGGTGCGTCAACAAGACACAGGCGGACACAATCGGAAAGGGAAGCTACAATCAGCACACTGGGAAGACTTGAGGACAGGGTAGTCAAGAGAGAGACACGGTGAGTGTGAAAATCATCGTAAAAACTGAGGTGGATACCGTACTTAATATTAGATTAAGTCCAGACACAAATGTTTTACAACCTACTGGTTTTCATTCGTTTTTACTGAGATATAAATCTTAACAAACTGGCCCAACAACCTGTGAGTGTGAAGAAGCAGACCATACTATAGGGCCCTATCCAGCTATCCAACCCTTGCAACTCAAAAGACTGTGCAGTTTTTTAAAAAATTTAGGACTGTTTAAAGAAATGGGAAACTGGTCATATAACCATCACGCTTCAGTGACACAAAAAGGAAATCTGTCAGTTGTATATCTTTCTGAACATTTACACTCTTGGCTTGTGTAAAACAGAAATGTTTTCATGGGTCAATTATTAGGAAAGAGTTTTTATAAACCTCCCGGGAAATATTCAAATCTTTGCATTTTTAATTTATATAGTTAATTTTTAAGTGTTGAAGTGATGTATTTTTGACACTTTGTCTCCCTTGACCCCATACCAGTATCAGCCTCAAGTCAACTCCACCATCATCATGCCGAGAGTCTCCCCTCATCATATCGTTAATCGCAGCTTCTGCACCTTCCAGCCGCTGTCCCCCCAGGACGCTTTGGAGGAACGTCTCATACTAGACTCCATTGCTTGGCCTGAAACTCCACTTTTGCCATCTCCTATTTTCTTGGAGAAGACCACTGATCCAGCCCACAGCACCTTCACCATTCTCCCAGGGAGGAAAGGGGGGCAGTGGCATGTAGGGGACCAGCTGGAGGTTATGATACAAACCTTTGACTTCCAGGGTCGTCCCAAGAAGTCTGGGGGTGACTTCATACTCGCCACTCTGCAAAGCCGGAAGCTTGAAGCAGGTGTGGCCGGGCAAGTTGTGGATCATCAGAATGGGAGCTACTCTGCTGTGTTCTCTTTACTCTGGGAAGGAGAGTAAAGGCTCAGGCTCTCTCTCTGAAACCACCATCTGTAACGTCTGCCTCCGGCCAACCCAACAGCCGGTGTGTAACTACACTGACCTCTATTCAGGTGATCCTTGGTTCTGCTACAAGCCAAAGAAACTGAGCTGTGAAACCAGGATCAACCACTTCAAGGGAGGATTCAAACAAAACCTCAAGGCCAAGGAGGAAAAGCTCTTTCAGAGGTGAGTGAATCATGAGAGGCTTAGAGGTTTGTGACCTCAGGGAGTTAGCATTCACCCCATAGTTATTTGAGATTTTAAAATAATACAAGGGGAAGAAGCTCTTTCAGAGGTGCGGGAACATAGAGGAAAAGAAGTCTCATTTTCAACATTGTGTAGTATTCTCTGTTAATTATTAGGGCCTGAGCCGACTGAAAGCGCCCTCTACACATATTCATTTAAGCAGCCCATCAACTGATTTGATCCAGATGCATTTACCTAGATACCACAGCTTTGATCCAGCTGTGCACATTTTTCCTCCATATCAGCAGAGTAGAATTAAAAGTAAAGAATCAAGTTGGTCAAATATGCAACTGTGACCGACATGACTGGACCTCTGTCCACATCCTCACTGGAGCGAAATTGTCCACTTGATGAAAGCAGAGGTCTTTGCAGAGTCACTTTTCCACAGCTCTGCTGTCTTCACAAAGCCGACTGGCTTGTCATACAGGTTTAAATGCTGGTGTCTTTGCCATGCAGAGATATATTCAGTGTTTTCAAATTGCAGAATATATCTGCCGGACATCTACTCAATCAGAATGGTGTGTTCTTCACATGTTAGTTCCTGAAAGCCAGTTGAGAATTCTCCCTTGAGAAAAATGGCACTTCTCTCTGCAGCAGAAGATCTGCGTGATTAGCTCTTGTACTCTGCCTTGACTGTATGGAATATATCATAAATTATTTAAACTTCCGTCGGGCAGCCCCCCCCCCCCGGACATGAAAGGGGAGGCGAATGCCCCGTTCAGCGCTGCTCACAGCTTTAATTTATGTTTTATTATCTCCCCCAGGAGAATTGTACGATTTATTGCTATAACTTGTCTGGTTACCGACGGGGGTTCTTTGGGTTGTAAACATACACCAAGGTTGTTGTTTTTGTTCACACTTTATTTTTTTGTATGACGGCCGTAAGCAACTATTTGTGCATTACCGCCACCTTCTGAAAAGGAGTCTGGATTGAAATGATAGTTCTACTGTACCCCTACATTTTATGTATCAGTTTAGTCTTTGCCAGATAATTAAATATTTCCCCATAGATTATATGCTGTGAATTTAGTTGCATCAGTTGGTGAACTCAAACCCAATCTTTTCTTTCTGCAAAACGTGTCTAAGCTTTTCCTTGTACTGATTGTATTGTGGACAAAGGATGATGACGTGTTCTATTGTTTCCTGTTTGCTGCTTGTCCCAGGCTATCGGACTTGTCCTGTTTGCTGGGACCGTTTTTTTCAGGAGACTGCAACAGGTGCCTGTTGAATGTTTCTCCAGTATTAATGTGTACTTGTGTGTCCAAACCTCATTCTGGTTATGATGTTTTCTGTTGTGGATTCATTAATTTGTAGTTTATACTATGCAATTATTCTCTAACTCACTGAACTTATCTATCTGACTCTAGATGAGAACCGCGTTTATTGCCAACCAGCACTAAAACAGATTCTGGACCGTTGATGGCTGCCATACCTGGACCAAATCTGGCATTATATCAAAGGGCCTAAACTGGTTGAGACATGGCAGCCGGGTGTATCTGCAACCAGCACTGACACAGGCTCCGGCCCATTGATGGCTGCAGGATCTGGGCCCAATCTGGCTTCATAGAAATTGCCCTATTCAGGCCAAGACATGGCAGCTGGGTTCATTGGCAACCAGCAATAAAACAGGTTCTGGCCCGTTGATGGCTGCCAGACCTGGACAAAATCTGGCATTTTAGCAATTGGCCTATTCTGGTTGAGACATGGCACCCGGGTTCATTTCAATCAGCACTAAAACAGGTTCTGGCCCATTGACGGATACCAAACCTGTGCAGAATCTTTCATTATAAAATCGGGCCTACTCTGGTTGTGTTGGGTTTATCGGGCAGCAACTCTGAAATAGATTCTGGCCCGTTGGTGGCTGCGGAACATGGGCCAAATCTTGCATTATAGAATCGGGCCTATTCTGGTTGAGACATGGCAGAGGGTTTAATCGGCAACCAGCAAATAGGCTTTGGCCCGTTGATGGCTGTAGAATCTGGGCCAAATCTGGCTTCATAGAAACTGCCCTATTCAGGCTGAGCCATGGCAGCTATTGGCAACCACCACTGAACCAGGTTCTGGCCCATTAATGGCTGCCAAACCTGTGTCTTGTATAAATAGGAACGGACCTCATACTCGCACTTTCTTTTCTTTCTCCACCACCATTACCCTTTTTGCTAAGTATTTGGTATTTATTTGTAGGGCTGTCTAAATTAACACATTCATCTATGTGATTAATGTGTGAGATGAATGCAATAAAATCGGGCCGATACGGGCACAGTTTTTTTTTTTTATTAGATTACAGCCCAGTGACTGCAGTGTCACACGCCGGATTCAGGCCAGTGTATTCGGCCTGATTCTGGGGCGTCATTCCCAAGTCTCAGACGAGTCGGCAAATGGACTCGGCCCCACATGTTTTTTTACCCACTCTCCTGGGTGTACTACACTTGCTTGGTCCGGCAGGGCCTGCCTTTCGTCCGAGGCTCCTATTACCTGTTGGAATAGGGCTACACGTATACATGTTAAACTCTGTACAAAGCTACACAGCTCTTTCACCAATACTCTAACGGAGGTCCCTTTTGGTGCCCTCTCAGATGAGGCACTAGCATCGGGCGGCCTGTTAGCATTTCATGCGGGGCCAGGTGCGTTGTTTGATTTGTTTGCATTCTCATACTCATCAATGCGAGCAGAAGCGCAGTCAACCAGTCCATTTTGGTTTCTCAACAAATTTTGGCTAATTTGTTGTTCTTAAGCGTACTGCCCGTTCCACCAGTCCTTGCAACCCAAGATGATAAACGCACCCCAACCGCTGATCGATTCTCAACGCCTGAGTTTTTTTCTTCATTACCGTCTTGTCAAAATTATTGCCATTGTCCGAGCTAATTTGTTCCTGGATGCCAAATCTCGGAATCACTTCTTAGGAGAAATTCAGCTGCGGTTATCACATCTGGCTTTTGCAGCTGGGCATGCTTCCACCCATCTCATGAATCGATCATTTACCACCAACACACCAATATTGCATTCTTAGCAGCTATGTCTGCTGCATTATTATCCTTAGTTATAACGTCGTCAGCGTCAGGACTTTGATAGATTGTTGGCAAACCCTTGTTTTTCATCAATGTGCTATGGGTATTGTTTCTAAGGTGGGGCATGGCCTTAGGTTTGAGCTGGATCGCCACTTAGCCGAGTCCATATAACCCACATCGGTGGAACGTTTTGTCCACAGAGTGTGGGGAAAGTCATTCTGGAGAGCATAAACTGACACAATACTATCAGGGGCCCCCTTGTTGTCTCTGACCACACCAGTCAGTTGATTTACAGTTATTCGGTCAGGTAGTGGCTCTTGTGCCATTTTTATCACTTAGGCGTTGTTATTTTTGTCTTTGTACCACCCGCCGTCTTGTGGTCCACTAGATGGGTACTCGTGCCGCTGTGTGGGTCTCAGGGGACCCTGAACTAGTCATGTGCTGAGACCTCTTGTTCACCAGCAGATGGAGACTTGTACTCCCCCACCACACGTCATGGGTGCCTTCCCTCTCGTTGCTCTAAGTCACGATACAGAGTCGGGGCCTGTGACCTTACGGATGTCATCATCTATTGTCTGGGGGCACCCGGCACCTTACATGGGCATCGCCAAAAACAAGGGCGGGGACAGATTGCTTGTATGCATTTGTTTGTTGGGATCTACACCTATCCCCCTCCATTTTTTTTTAGTACATTTTGCAGTTCCACACATTAGATAGTTTGTTTTTGTGCCAAACTTCAGCCAAGGCTATTGTCCCACAAACAAGGTCTCAGCAGTTTTGAGACTGGTATGTCCTTTTTCTTTTGTTTTTAACTTTTTTCCTTTTCCTACAAATAAACCTCCACTAACTTCAGGGTATTCACCTCAACACTGCAACCACGCACCTTACAGCTTCTTATGCCATTGTCATGCACCGCTGAATGAGAGAAATACTTTCATTTCCATTTCTCTGCATTACTCTGCAACGCGGGAGCCATTCCCGCCATTTTGTTAATTTGATCTGATGACACCTGATGTGTACGTACGCCGCAAGACGCGTACTTTAGCATTTAACATTTACATTTAGATGAAACATTTATATTATTTAACAACTCTGTGTTACTGCCAAACATTATCCGTGGTTAATTTCTTGGTTAAAAGTTATTGCATGAATTTACATTTCTCTCTAAATGTTTGAAGAAGTGACATTTGAATATTGTCGTGCTTTTCTTTCCCTATGATAATGCTAAATGTACCAAAACTGCGCAGGATTTTAGAACGTGCGACATTGTACGAACAGCGGCCTATATTCTTCCTTCTACTTATTATATTGTTTTTGCACTGATATTCAGACGTGCTTTCAGACGTGAGCGGATGTTTCGGGAGAGATCAGACCAGCGTGAAGCTCTCACCATCCCATAGATGCTCTGTATGGCACAGGGCTTTTTTTTTCAAGCGGCATGTTTTTATATGCCGAAACTGTAAGTGAAAGGCACTATTTGCCGTACTGTCAGAAGTGTGTGTTTGGCACTGAAGTCCTTGGCACACATATTTATTACCTTCCCTGGCCACAGAAGAATGACTGTTGCACCAAAGAGGATTTCCTCTTTGACAGTTCACATAATCTGTATAAATGGGTGATTGTGTTTGATGTACAGTACTGAAGAATGTACCATGTACGAATAGGGCAGTATCTGCAGGTGGGACACAGTCAGTAACTGTCCCACTGTCCCAACTGTTGCCAGGATCTTTATTGGCCAGTCATGTTTGTTCTATGCACATTAATTGTAGAAAGATATTTGACAGTTTATAGAGAACTTTCCTGTAAGTAGATATTTTTAAATCCTTCCGCATTCAGTCGGTCTGCGATTGTCTGCGAGGCTTTTCTGTGTAATTACAGCTGCCGTTTTTCCTTCTTTTTGCATATTATATGCTTCACCACCTCATAAGTTTCCATAATTATTTGCTGCTCATCGGGTTAAAAATGTGCTGCGCGCAGCGTCTGTGATCGATACTGTGGTCAGATCACACTAAGTCACGCAGCGCCTTTTCACTTATCCTGTGGGGTCGTCATGGCGCAGGGGTTAGAGAAGTTGTGCTGGGAAGCATAAGGTTGTTGGTTCGATTCCAGGCTGCCTGATGTTCCATGTCAAAGTGTCCCTGAGCAAGACACCTAACCCCTAATTGCTCCCCGGGCAAAAATGTGAAAAAGCCATGGGTTTAAAGTGTAATGTAAGTCGCTTTGGATAAAAGCGTCTGCTAAATGACATGTAATGTAATCCTAGATTTTTTTTTTCTACTTTTGTGCAATACCTGTTGTGGAATATTTCAATAAAAGCTCGGTAGAAGAGAATTATTTGTCTGATAAAACAGAGTCTTGATGAATGATCAAAGTTGCAAAAAGTCCATTTATTGCTTGCAAGCAGGAGGTAAAATACACAGGCACGTATCACAGTGCTCTGTGGAAATGGCGTCTCCGAGCACTAATGACGCTGAGTTTTCATACACATGTGGAGGACATTACGAGAAGCTGCAAAGCAGGTCGAGATAAGAACCCAGGTGAAGCTGAGGGTAGCACACACACACACAAGATACTCCTCAGTGGCCGGTGCAAATCATAATTAATTGACATGAAAGTAAATCTTGGATCCAGAACTTTCGTACAGAATAAGATATCAACCAAGGCCATGAACAGGAGTCCTTTGTTTTGAAGCTTCTATGAGATCGAGTCAACCGTCCTCCCTTCTCAGGGCACAGCTGCAAACTAACATTTTGTATCATGCTGCTCTTTGCACATCAGGGTCAAATACAGGACACTTGAGACACGGCTTTAGCACAAAACAATGTTATAACATATTTTTACCATTACATACCCCCCTGTTCTTCACAGTCAAAACAGAGGTGCTTTTGAGGGACTAAATATGCTCTAATCCCAACTAAACTTTGCACACACATTTAAAGTAAAAGATGTAATTACTTTATATGGCTTCCAAATGGCAATTTGGCTCAACAGTAGTTGATCCAGACACACCTGGCGGAATGCACTCTACTGAGCATCTTTCTTGCTGTGAATGTGTATATTTGAGCTTGAGTATATATAAGATGCAGTGTTTGGTAAATAAAGTTCAGCTTTAACTCACAAAATGAAGCCACACCACACCAGACACCTCAAATCAGCAGCAAAAAATTAGGGGGGGGTATGCATTATCTGCATTCCGGCCCCTGGTTTGTCTTACGGCAAGATGGAGTTCAAGCTCCAAAGAATCCATGCCTGTTTAATAAATAATTGTTTAATTTAAGAAGTCTCTCCTGAATGAAATATATTAAAAGGGTGTACGTTTTGTTTGTTGTTAATCTCTTAAAATGTTTGTCATCTTTTATTTTTTACTTGATGTAGTTGTTTCAGACCTTTTTTATCTGTGATTTCTTCTCCAGTGGTGTGAACATGAAAGTAGCCATTCAGGCTACAGGATCTTCCATTGCCACTGTGTTGTCGAAAAAGGAAGGTATACCTAGATTTTACAACTGACAATAACGATGTTAATCTCCTTGTTAGAAGTATATCTAGTTTCAAGAGTAAGGCTATTAAATAAAAGGTCCATACCTTTTAATACTTTTTTTGTTTTGTTTTTTCATGGGATAATTCAAGCATTATTCTTTTCCTCTCAGGTCAACTGAAGATGAAGAGGAGTTCGAGGACCATTGCACCATCTGGTTATTACTACCAGGGCGTTTGGCGAGCACTAGGAGGCACCACAGTATCTCAATTCAACCGGTCTGCAATCACCCAGTGTCTGAAAGGCAAAGTCGTCCACATGTATGGAGACTCCACAATCAGGCAGTGGTTCGAATTCCTCAACGTAGCTCTACCAGGTAACTGATCCATAGGGATTCCTGGAATTGTTCGTTTTTGTTTCCTACTGCAGTTTGATATGTTCCCCCTTTCATACTTTCAGGTCTTAAGGAGTTTGATTTACACAGCCGGAGACAAGTTGGACCTTTTCTGTCCTTAGACTATGAAAACAACATCTTGGTGACATACCGCTGCCATGGTCCTCCTATCCGCTTTGGCCTCATCCCAACTAGAGAGCTTCGTTACATTGCTAATGAGATAGACGACTTGATCGGAGGCCCCAACACTGTCATAGTCGTTGGCATCTGGTCTCACCTCGGCACTTACCCCATTGAGATCTACATCAGGAGACTACAGAGCATCCGTAGGGCGGTGGTGCAGCTGCTGGACAGGGCTCCAGGCACGCTGGTCATCATACGGACAGCAAATGTCAAAGCTTTGACACTTTATGAGACAATTACCAACAGCGACTGGTATTCACTGCAGCGTGATAAGGTGCTCAGAGCAATGTTCAAAGGACTGAAAGTTCATCTGATTGATGCCTGGGAAATGACCCTGGCCCACCACCTGCCGCATAACCTCCACCCACTACCTCCCATTATTAAGAATATGATAGACCATCTATTGTCCTATATATGTCCTCATAAGGGCGGCTAGGTGTATGTCCTGGGGGGAGAGGAATGTTTATTTGTTTTCTGAGTTTCAACCAACTGCTTAATTGTTCCTTCATACTCAGATAAGACTAACAATACATTTGTTTAAAAATTTGACTTTCGAGATGGTTTGTGTTTGAAAAATTGAAATACGGTTTAGTGTGAGTGGATAGATGGTCTGTGAGCTCTTGAACTGAGACATGGTGTTCCTGTAATAAACAGATGTTCAGGATGATTTGTAAAGCATGATTTTTTCCCAAGCCTTTGGTGTAGAGGTGACTAGTACACCCTGGTGCCTCCCTCACAAAAGGTCAGAGTTTCAGATTAACATTCAGATATGTGACAATTATCTACAAGAGATCGCCAAGGCTTTATATAATATATATATATATATGTATATATATATACTGTATGTCATGCTTATGGTTTGGTAAAAGTAAGCCAGATATGATTACCTTTTTGACTGCTTTTGTGTCACAGCAGAACTGCAACAGATTAGATGGAATTAAATGGAGGCATTATGAAAACAAAGAGCATACAATTTCATCCACTCTTTTGCTCCTCAGATTCAGTTACCCGCCCCCTCTTGAGAAACACCAAACAGTTCAATTCCAAATACGGGTGTGACTTCTGCCTTCACACTGGCAGTGACCCATACGTCTCGAAAAGTCCAGTACCCCCTGAATGACAGAGGCAAATCATTTTAAGCATGCTATGGTGGCAACAACTGATAATCCAGTAATTAGTGTGAAAGACCCATCTCCTCTGATGGAACTTGAGTTTCCACTCAAATGAATTGTTCCTGAGTAACAGCACAGTGTCTCCCAGTCACAAAACAGGTCATATATTTGTGGCTCGACAGCAAGCACCATAATGAAGGGTGGTACCTGGGCTTGAAAGTCCGTAACACAGACTAGGAATTGCTGGCCGTCAACCCCCCTGTGGAGGTGACAAGGGTACCAAGATCAGTGAAAGACAATTCTGTCATTTTTGTTTTGCTATACTTTGCATGTTTTGAATGGCAATTTGGCCAAAAAGTACTAGAACCTTTTTCTTTTTAAATCAGTTTTTGCAGTGCAATGACTTACATTACATGGTGCTGCTGATGTTTCTTTCATGGTCATTTGTTTATGCATTTTTATGCAAGTGTGCGCCACTGGGGACCACTGTGGGCAGTATTTCTATAACTTGTATTTGAAATACGTATTTTAATTACTTTTGAGGATAAATAATCTAATGTAGAACGTGATTTGTAAAAAAATACTTTTAGAGTGGAATAATTTTGTAAAATACTCAAAATGCTTATGTAGTTACAAACGAAAATTACGTATGTAACTAGGGTTCTATGAATCGTGGATGATCGCCAGAGGCAGTGCTTCACACTAGATCAGGGGTGCTCAATACGTCGATCGCGATCTACCAGTCGATCTCCAAGGTACTATGGGTAGATCGCATGACAAGGTGAGGTGACATTGTCATGAACTGACGCTATACAAATAAAGTTGAGTTGTTTTGAATAAAAAAACTAGACGTCAGCCTATCAGCCATCCGTCACTTGTTTGATACACAGGACAACCAGTCAGATGACATCTGATTTTTTTCCCCGTACAATTAGGTCACTGTGCGTGTTTAAACAACGCCCCTGAGCGCTGCAAAGCTAACAAGCTAGTCGTTAGTTACATCCTAATTTTTCGCTCGTTTTTTTCCTCTTAAACGTAAGATAGGGTATAAAAATGAGTGGGGGAGCTGGACCAAGTAAAAAGAAAAAAAACTATCACTTTCATACGGAGTGGGAGGACGACTTTTTTTTCACGATGACATTTTCAAAGTGCGTTTGTCTCGTCTGCCAGTCTACCGTCGCAATACCAAAGAAGGGAAATGTGGAGCGGCATTTTCGGACTCTTCATGGAAAATACGACACTGGACTATGTATCCCTGGCTGATTCAATTCAGTGCAAGTCATCAGAGTGAGCTCAGGTGATGGCAAAAAATGTACATAATTATGTTGTTCAGTCTGTTCAGTTCTGAATTATGTTGTGTTGTGCAACATATGTGGTTATACATCAACATAAGTTGTAAGAATCCTCAATATATTTCTCAATAAATATAATGGGTAGATCATTTTGAACTGGTCATTTCAAAAGTAGCTCCCATGCTGAAAAAGTGTGAGCACCCCTGCACTAGATTATCTTCTGTCTCGCGCATTCGCAGGTCGCGTCTTTATACCACAAAGTCACCTGTGACCCCGGATGACCTCCCGTCACGTATGCAAGTACCGGTGTCATCCTGAGATCAGTCCTACGGTATCTTCTTGCGAGTTCACGTGATTCCGAGTGACTAAGAACTCTGACGGTCATCCACGATTCATAGAACCGTAGTTACATACTTTCGTTTTTCATCTATTTCATCCTTACTGACTACCAGAGGCAGTGCTAGGCTGGTTGATGCGTGAGCTTGTTCGCAGGACGCTGCCTTAGGCCACACTGCATGAAAAGTGAGATTTTCGTCCCCGTAAACGCCCGGAAATCTCCCTAATTTCCGACAATTTCCGACAATTTGCAACCCGCGCACGTCGCGTTTGTCTGTGCCACAAATTGTCGGAAACGAACCATGACGTAGGGGGAGAGCTGGCGGAGGTGCGAATGGCCCGAATTAGCATAAGAATGCAGCGAAGCCGCGGGTGGCCGAGCCGAGCGGGCTTGAATATCCTTACTCCTTATTGGAGGAAACCACAACTTACTAACAAATAAAATCACTCGTGATTGGCAGCAAAACCACACGTGGGCAGACCAGCCTTGAGTTTCCTTGTTCATGATTGGATGAAAACAACTTTCAATCACTCGTGATTGGTTGGCAGATCTGTCGCTATTGGTCACCCGCCTCATTTTATTTATATATTCATATTATGATGTATATTCATTTCATGGTTATCCTATGTAGGCTACAACACTATTATTAGGATACCAACCAGGACATCAATGAATTTATAGAGAAAATGAACATTTGCCACATGTTTATGCAAAGAAAGAGCTTTATTAACAACACACAAACAACAACTACATACAAAGTGAGGATCTGCCCACACTTGGGTAACGGCGGTTTAAAAACTACAGCTCAGTAAACTGTCCGTTTGCCTCCTCTGGGTTGTAGACCGTCACTGGCGCCGTGTTTTCCGAGGCAGGTCTGTTGTGCAGGCGGCTCGTGTGCGTGTGCCGACCGTACAATCCACCCCGAGACCCCGCCAACAACGCCGTCCCCGGTGGCGGATTTCCAGAGTTCCACCTCGTCATCAGCCAGCGCACTTTGTCTCGATTCCAGCAGCTGTAAAAACAACAATGAATCAGTACTTTGCGATGCGATGCGTACGGACACAACACATCTATCAATGCACCTGAAACAAGTCAGCAAATAAACTCTGACCCGCTTTCTTCTCGCTCGACTCCGCGCTGAATCCTTCGCAGCTTCAGCCCGCAATGAGTGTTCTGCCTGAACCTGAAGCTCCTGCGTCCCGTCTCACAATACGTCTCACAGGCGGCTGGAAAACAATTAAATGAGTGGTATGAATACAAAAAAAATCAAACGCAAGTCACAGTAACAGTTAACAAGGAAGGAGAAACAGTGTCACTTACACACAATGACGTCGTCTAAATCTCGACTTTTCTCGGAGCAAATACGAGGTCACCGCCTCATTATGAGGCGAGATTAGTCTGTGAAAACAAAATGTACAGTTATGATCGGTATCTATACGTATATATTCCCTCATACCGCGGAATGAAAGCATATTCTTTAAATCTGACCCTTGCTCCGGTTCGTAGCGCCTGTGATTCGTCTCGGAGTTGTGAAGACGGCGCATCGCTTCCTGTCAACGACACGGCAAAGAAAACACACTTTAATAAAGCTGTTTCTGCTCACTTGTAGGGCTACTAGGCTACTCTTAGCTTAGCTTGAGGCTACGCTACTTTTAGCTTAGCTTGCAGTCATCGAACGTATTCTTACCGCTATCTTGGGATCGTGCGCCCGTCTCCTCTTCTTTGAGTCGGTTCCTCTTGTAATGGGAAAAGGATATGTGACCCTTTTAAATGCTTCATTTGTATAACCAGTTTATTAGTTGCAAGTGCTTAGGTCACAAAGGCCCTGACATACGAACTGATGTCTCCCACTTGGATTAGATGTTTCCAGCGTCATAGCTGTAGAGATTGAACAAAGTGTTTGTTATGTCTATGACCACCTTTGTTTAAGCATGTTGGGAGAGCAAGGACACGGTCAAAGAGCTGACGTGTCTTACATGGATAAGATGTTCCCAGTACCCTGGCTGTAGAGACTCAACAAGATGGTCAACGGTTTCTGTTGACGCCACCGATATCTAAATTTAGGTATAAGAACTGCCTCGATGTGTTGGGAAGAAAAGGAGGTTCTTGACAGTCTACTGACCACGTAGCTATTGTGACCCTTTTTCCTTTGCAAGGAAATAAACGGAGAAAAGACATACTTGACTCAGAGCCTTTGATTCTTACTTAACGATTGTCTGTGCAAAATCTTTCACCACACTCTCCTCCATGGACAGAAACCCGCAGTCCCGAACGCTCCAGTGGAGCGAACCGCTCGTTGATATCGGCAGTTTGTTGTTGGAGTGACGAGACGATCCACTGAGAGCATTCAGCAGCTTCTTCTCGTCTACGGACTGGCCGAAAGTTGGTGACCGCGGAGAGGAGTTGAAGGCGAGTTGAACGCGAGACGTCGTCCAGCCATTTTTCACGAAGCAGCAAAAACCAAACAAAGGAACTGGAGATACAGTTCTTCTGAATATAGTAACACACTGTTTGTGTGCTCGTCTTGCAAGTACTGCTGTCTGAGTCATGCCTATGACCTCAGTCTAAGGGTCCTCCAATCACATGCGAGGTTATTGTTATACGGAAGGACCAGTATTTTAGGAAGACAAATGGTTGGGACTTTGAAACAGCTGATATGCTTTATGTAAAGCAGTGTTTTGGTGTCAGCAGAACGACTTTCCCTAGAAAACTGTACAGTGGTGCCTCTTTCTCCATTCCACCAGACAATCTTGGATGAGTCTGACAGACATGCAATGTTGACAATGTATCATCAGATGTACCCTTGTGTCACTGAGGTTGAATGTTTTGCCATGACATGTAAACGGGTAACATATATGAATGTAACTTACTCAATCGATAGATGTAGAGCATAAAGGTCAGCATGTGTTTATGCTAAGTGGTGTGGAAACACTAACAGTTTTGAGGAACCCGTCCTTGACCCTCTAGCAGAACTACGACCAGCCATTATAAAGCAGTTTATAGTTGTCAATGTTGTGTCAAAGGGTACGGCATTTAAACATGTTCTTGCACAAGTTTCCTGGCTTCATCTCCACCCGGACAGACATTTTTGTGGAAAGCCAATAGAAGTTTGGGGCTTGCAGGGAACAGACACGTCATACCCAGCATCATTTCTGCCAGTTGAGCGCATTGCTACAAGATGTGTGGTTAATACATCCTCTGTGCATTTAAGTAAGACCAAAGATAAGGTCACTGTAGTCCTGCCACTATGCACTGTAGTTGAGCTCTAGCAGACTGTGATCTCTGCAGACCCCTCATGCTGATTCAAATGTTGTTTGCATGGAATGCTCATTTTACCTTGATTAAAACTCATTTTTTAAAGAAGTTATTTTGTGTATCTTTTCTACATAGCATTTGCCATTGCTAATGGCGTAGACAGTAATCTAGCATATTTGAATTAAATAAATCAATTCAAGCTCAAATGTAAGAGTCTATAATTAGGCTACTGAGCCTGATTTATTTGTACCAGAGATTTTATTACCTTTTAAAAAAATGTCACCTGGGCTAAAACTCCCTCTGCGACCCTGATTTGCGTTTGTATAGCTCACAGCATTTTCATTTACATGTCAAAGCCTCCCCTAGAAATAGGAGGAGGGGGGTCATGGGGGGAGAACTGCCAAGGGAGGCCCACGTCAATTTCTGACAATTTACGGCAGTTTTCGGCGTTGCCCGCAAATTCCCGCAAACCTGCAATTCCACGACAATTTACAGTGCCGCATACTGCCGAAAATCCCACTTTTCATGCAGTGCCACAGAGTAATGCCAGAGCCATCTGAGGTACCCTCTGATATGATTTGCTCACCAGCAGGGAATGCGGCTCGCGTATAGGTTTAGCAGCTGCGATGGCAAGGAGAGAACTACCCCTTTTGGCCACTAGCCATCTTGGCTCCACCTGTGTTGGGGATTCAGAAGGCACGTCTAGGGTCTCCAGTGCCAAGAGTACGTCTCTTGCAGTGGCTTTTTGGATACTTGCAGGACGTGATCGCGGAGCCCCCCCACTTTTTTTTGACAGAGGGACGCCAGTCTGTGGCTCCCTACTGTGTGATGTCAACCTCGGTAGACTACCCCGAAATGGGGCCATCTATAATCCAATGGTAGAGGGAGACTGGCCCTTATGGAGGAGGGAGGAGGAGAGGAAACCCAAGTACAGCCGGCACAGGGCCTTGTACTGGGGTCCTGTTGAGAAAGGCACACCGGTCAGAAAACAGTTTCCATCTGTAGTCCTGGCTGCAAAAAGCAAGTATCCTTTTAAAAATACTCAACTTTAGCCAGTGCTGTGCTCGTGCATCAAACTGCACAAGGACAGTAGGAAGAGTTGCTAGTTCAAGATGTTCCACCCAGTGGATTTCTTCCTTTGAGATCAAATGTGTGTAAAGTTTTAAAAAATACAAATTTAAAAACTAAAATACACGTGGTCGGGGAGTGATCACTCGTTAATTTATAAGATCTAGTCTTCACAATTAATTAATTTGAAAAATGATTTTTTCTATCAGCAGTTTTTAAAAATAAATCTTTCTTTATATACAGTTCCAGAATAAGTGCTACGCTGAAGCTAAAGACTCATCACTGATCATGAAAGCCACATCTTGTACAAGAAGGGATTTCGGCACCATCTTCCTCTTTCTGATGGTCTTTGCCTTGATCTTTGTGCTACGTCACATGGACATTCTGCAAGTAAGAACTTTTTTTGAAGGGTTGTTTCAATTATTTAATATTAGTCAGGTTATGTGATGGTTTTAAAATGTATTTTAATGTTCTGGAATTTGATTAAACTTTTCCTCTCACTCCTACACGTTGACTTGCTGACAGCAGCAGCTCTTGCAGTCAAAGGATGAAACTAGCAGTATTCTATAACTGACAAGCGTAGGCAAAGGAGGACCCGAGTGCACAACTCTTGAGACAGATGTAGAAGTGACAGGAGGTTCTAGTCATACATTTATTCAAGGACACAAAAATATTTGAAGGCATACGTTTAAGAGGGTCAGGCAGAGCCGGAATCCAGTGATTGTATTTTAAGTTGTAAACTTTATTACATTACATTACATGTCATTTAGCTGAGTGACTTACAATAAGTGCATTCAACCATAGGGTTACATACTCAGAAGAGCGTTGTCTGTGTGTACGCGCCAACAAGAAAGTGCAATTTCCTCAAATAAGCCAAGTTACAATTAGCTATAGATAAGTGGCATTACAAGTACAATTTAAGTCCTACAATTAGAGTCTGAAGAAGTGTGTCTTTGGTTTGCGGCAGAAGATGTGATGGCTCTCTGCGGTCCTGGTGTCATCAGAGAGCTCGTTCCACCATTTCGGAGCAATGGACAGCAGAGTTTGATCTAGTTGAGTGTTTTGCTCTCAGTGAAGGAGGAACAATCAGTTTTGCAGATGTAGAGCGGAGAGTGCGGGTCGGGATGTAGGGTTTGACCATGATGTCCTGGATGTAGACGGGACCTGATCCATTCACAGCATGGTACGTGAGCACCAATGTTTTGAACGGGATGCGGGCAGCCACCGGTAGCCAGTGAAAAGAGCGGAGGGGTGGAGTAGTGTGGGAAAATTTAGGAAGGTTAAAAGACCAGTCGAGCTGCTGCATTCTGGATGAGCTGCAGCGGTCGAATGGCGGTAGCGGGGAGACCTGGTAGGAAAGAGTTGCAGTAGTCCAGGCGGGAGATGACAAGAGCCTGAATCAGTACCTGCGCTGCCTTCTGAGTGAGAAGGGGACGTATTCTCCTGATGTTGTAGAGCGTGTATCTACCGGATCGTGTTGTTGCAGTGATGTTGGGAGTCAGGGAAAGTTGGCAGTCGAGTGTGACGCCGAGGTTCCTAGCAGTCAAAGTGGGCGTTTGAACGGAGTTGCCAAAGTTGACCGTCAAGTCCTGGGTTGGAGAATCTTTTCCTGTTCAGTCTTGACGGGGTTGATTTTCAGATGGTGAGCGGACATCCACTAAGAGATGTCAGTCAGACTGGCAGAGATCCGTGCCGCCACCTGGGTGTCCAAGTGAGGGAAGGAGAGAATTAGTTGGTTGTCATCGGCATAGCTGTGGTAGGAGAAGCCATGCGAGCAAATGACAGCGCCGAGAGAGTTGGTGTGGAGCGAGAAGAGGAGGGGGCCCAGGACGGAACCCTGAGGAACTCCAGTAGTAAGAGGACAAGGTTCTGACACAGATCCTCACCAGGTTACCCGGTAGGTGCGGCCGTCAAGGTAGGACGAGAGAAGGGAGAGAGCCTGAGACACCAAGTTCCTGAAGGGAGGAAATAAGGATGTGGTGGTTGATTGTGTCAAATGCAGCAGAGAGGTCCAGAAGGATGAGGACAGAGGAGACAGCAAGGAGAGCAATCTCTGTGGAATGGCCTGCCTTGAAGCCTCACTGGTGGCCTCACTGACAAAAAGGGAAGATGAGAGACCGGTCTGTAGTGGTTTTATTCAGAAGGGTTGAGGGTAGGTTTCTTCAGGAGAGGGTTACCTCTTGCCTCCTTCAGAGAATTGGGAAAACAGCCAGATAACGGAGTATTGTTGATGAGACAGGTGAGGAAAGGAAGAAGGTCAGGAGCAATAGACTGTAAGTCTAGGGTTAGAATTTGGTTAGGAGACAGGGGGGTGAAAGAGGAAAGTGAGGGCGATTGAGGTGAAGTCAGTGGGACGCAAATAGTAGAAGGTGGGTTTGAGAAAGCGGAGCGTATGTCAGCCATTGTCATGGTAAAGTAGTTGACAAAGACAAGGAAGAAGGTTGGAGGACTAGGGGGTTCGAGGAGGTTGGAGAAGATGGAAAATAGTTTTTTGAAGTTAGAAAATGAAGATTCAATTCTGGATTGGTAGAAAGAGCTTTTGGCAGCAGAGATAGAAGCAGAAAAAGAGTAGAGAAGAGATTCAAACTTAAGCAGGTCAGCAGGTTGTTTATATTAACGCCATCTCCTTTCCGATACTCGCATGGTGGCTCTCATGGCACGCACCGGTTGAGACAGCCACGGAGCCGCTTTATCAGTAACGTATCAGTAAAGTAAGGTGAATAAGAAAAGGTAGTTTCCGAAAAAAGTCCAGACACAAATGTTTTACAACCTACTGGTTTTCATTCATTCTTACTGAGATATAAATCTTAACAAACTGACTCAACAACCTGTCAGTGTGGAGAAGCAGACCATACTATAGGGCACTACCCAACCATCCAACCCTTGCAACTTAAAAGACTGCAGTTTAAAATGTATTTTTAAAGAAATGTCATATAACCAACGCTATAGTGAAACAAAAAAGGAGATCTGTCAGTTGTACGTCTTTTGAAATATCACTGAAAACATGACATTTACACTCTTGGCTTGTGTAAAACAGACATTTTCCCATGGATCAAATTATTAAGAGATTTTTTTATAAACCTCCCGATAAATATTAAAATCTTTGCCTTTTAAATCTTTATGGCTAAATGGTTATTGATGCTTTTTGACGCCTTCTCTCTTTCGATCCCCTGCCAGTTTCATCCTAAAGTCAACTCCACCATCATCATGCCAAGAGTCTCCCGTCATCATATCGTTAATCGCAGCTTCTGCACCTTTCAGCCGCTGTCCCCCCAGGACGCTTTGGAGGAACGTCTCATACTAGACTCCATTGCTTGGCCTGAAACTCCACTTTTGCCATCTCCTATTTCCTTGGAGCAGACCACTGATCCAGCCCAAAGCACCGTCACCATTCTCCCAGGGAGGAAAGGGGGGCAGTGGCATGTAGGGGACCAGCTGGAGGTTATGATACAAACCTTTGACTTCCAAGGTCGTCCAAAGAAGTCCGGGGGGGACTTCATAACTGCCCGTCTGCACAATCGGAAGCTCGAAGCAGGTGTGGCCGGGCAAGTTGTGGATCATCTGAATGGGAGCTACTCTGCTGTATTCTCTTTACTCTGGGAAGGAGACGCACAGGTTGAGGTGATGCTAAAAACTATTACATCATCGCATTGGTTCTCACACAACAATATATAATATAAAATGGATAACAAATATCCTTGAATGTTAACAGTAATGGCAATAATAATGATGTTAGAAGCGGTAGGGCCAGGCAGGAGGCAGGACCAGGTTCCAGACGGATCTACGTCTGGACCCTGGCGATGAGAATGTGATGAGAATTATTATTATTGTCTACCTCGGTAGACAAAACGGTTGCCTCCATACACCTTTGGGTTATGGGGGAGGGGGAAACGCTGACCGTTGTCTGTGTATATGCGCCAAACACCAGTTTGGAGTTTATAGTCTTTTTGGAGACACTGAATGGAATCCTGCTTGGGGCTCCAGTCGGAGACTCCATAGTCCTACTGGGAGACCTCATGCACACGTGGACAACAATGAAGATAACTGGAGAGGCAAGAGGGTGTATGCTCATCTGGTCTAAATGTATTATGTGGAACTGAAGAAGGCGTATGACCGGGCCCCCCGCAATACTGAGGGAGTATGGGGTGAGGGGGTTCCTTCTTAGCGCCATCCAATCTGTGTTTGTGTTCTCTGCAGTAAGTTGTAGTTGTTTCCGGTGGGGGATGGCCTTCAATTCTGTTTGTGGCATTCATAAACAGGATATTGAGATGTATTGGGGGGGAGGAGCGTTGACAGTTCAGGGTGGTGCGGATCTCATCGTTGCTTTTCGCAGATGATGTGGTTCTGATGGCATCTTTGGTCTGTGACCTTCAGATCTGAAGCGGTTCGCAGCAGAGTGTGAAATGGTCGGGATCAGGATCATCACCGCTAAATCTGAGGCCATGGTTCTCAGCAGGAAACCATAATGGATTGCCTACTGCGGGTATGAAATGTGTCCCTACCTCAAGTGAAGGATTTCTGTGGCTCCCTAGTGTGTGATGTCGACCTCGGTAGACTACCCCGAAATGAAGTACCGCGGGGTCTAGTTCGACAGTGAGGGGAAGATGGAGTATGAGTTTCGCCGGAGAAACTGAGCAGCATTACTGCAAGTCTCGATGTACCGGGTCAATCTTCGTTCCTACCCTCACCTACGGTCGCAAAGGATGGTTCGTGTCCGAAAGAACTAGGTGGGTACAAGCTACGAGAAAGAAGAGAAACTCATCAGCGAGGAGCTCGCAGTATAGCTTTCACTTTTACTTGGAAAGTAGCCAGTTGAGATGTCTGGTAAGAAAGCCCCCTGGGAAAACCCAGGAATAGGAGGAGAGATTATATCTCCGCATTGGTCTGGGAATGCATTGGGACCCACAGTCAGAGCTGGTAGATGTGGCATGGAAAAGTTTGGAGTACCCTGCTGGAAAAGTTGCCCCTGCGACCCGGCCCGGGATAAGCGGTTGAAGATTAAAGAGAGAGAGGGAGATTATTGCACAAATTGACTGATAAATAGTGTTCTAATGTGCAGCTCTGCAAACCGCCCCGCCCCACCCCACCCCATGGTACTGTTGGTCTGCCTGTTAACGTTCACTTTTTATACTGTCAATAATCAGCTTGTAATGGTAAAACTATGAGTCCATTCATAACAGACTTTTTCATGTTATACATGTTATTCTAGTCATGAATTGTAGATTTTCATTGAGTACTCTGGTTCTCTTTCCAATCAGGTGACTCTGGTTCACCCTAGTGAAGCTGTCACATTGCTGAACAGGCTAAACAGAGAACAGCCTGACAGGACTTACTTCAAGAGCCTCTACCGCTCAGGCTCAGTCTCTGAAACCACCATCTGTAACGTCTGCCTCCGGCCAACCAAACAGCTGAAGTGTAACTACACTGACCTCCGCACAGGCGAGCCTTGGTTCTGTTACAAGCCAACGAACCTGAGCTGTGATACCAGGATCAACCACTTCAGGGTAGCATTCAAACAAAGTCTCACATTGAAGGAGGAGAAGCTCTTTCAGAGGTGAGTGAACAGAGAAACATGAGAGGCTAGAGGTTTGTGACCTGAGGGAGTTGACATTGACCCTATAGTTGTTTGAGATTTAAACATTCTCTTGGCCACTCCTTTAGCAGCAAATTTTTCGTTGCTCTAAACAGTATGTTTGGGAGGTTGCCAAAGTAACAACCTGGTCGGGAGACAAGGGAACGAAAGAGGAAAGTGAAGGGAATTAAGATGAATTGGATGGAGTAGTCGCAGAATATAATCACACAATAAAATACAATAAAAGTATAAAACAATATTGATGAACGTGATTATACGAGTGGAAGGATCTTCCAAGCTTTTGTTCTAGTGATTGATTTTTCTAGTTTTAACTTTATTTAAATTGTTTCAAATGTTTGTCACCTTTACTTGTATTTGAGTTGTTGTACTATGTTTCATTTTTGCTCTCTTCTTCAGTGGTGTTAACCAGAAAGTCTGCATTCAGGGAATAGGATCTTTCAACGTGTTGCCTAAAGAGGATGGTATAGAAAGATTTATTTTCGTTGGCAATATATCTAATCGGCTCATGATCAAAACTTTTATACCTTGGTTTATCCCATTAAAAAACCAAACTAAGCCATATTATTTTCCTCTCAGGTCAACTGAAGGTGAAGAGCAGCTCTGTGACATCTCTACCATCTGGTTATTACTACCAGGGTGTGTGGCGAGCACTAGGAGGCACCACAGTATCTCAATTCAACAGTTCTGCCATCACTCAGTGTCTGAAAGGCAAAGCAGTTCACATGTATGGAGACTCCACAGTCAGGCAGTGGTTCGAATTCCTCAACGCACTTCTACCAGGTAGTTGGTCCAAAGGGATTCCACGCATTGTTTGATTTTGTTTTGACTGCAGTTTAATATTTTACCCATGTCAAACTTTCAGGTCTAAAGGAATTTGACTTACACAGCCGGAAACAGGTTGGACCTTTTATGTCCTTAGACTATGAAAACAACATCTTGGTGACGTACCGCTGCCACGGTCCTCCTATTCATTGGACCCCCATCCCAACCAGAGAGCTTCGATACATTGCTAATGAGCTAGATGACTTGAATGCAGGCCCCAACACTGTCGTAGTTCTTAGCATCTGGGCTCACATCAGCACTTACCCCATGGAGATCTACATCAGGAGGCTACAGAGCATCCGTAGGGCGGTGGTGAGGCTTCTGGACACAAATCCCGGCACAATGGTCATCATCCGGACCGCAAACTCCAGAGCTTTGAGCCTTCAAGTGTCCCTAACCAACAGCGACTGGTATTCGCTCCAGTGTGATAAGGTGCTCAAAGCCATGTTCAAAGGACTGAAAGTTCATTTGATCGATGCCTGGGAAATGACCCTGGCTCACCACCTGCCGCACAACATCCACCCACCACCTCCCATTATTAAGAATATGGTAAACTGTCTGTTTTCCTATATATGTCCCCAAAAGCATGGTTAGATGTCTGTGTTTTCGGGGCGCGGACTGTGTATTTGAGCACATGTTAAGGTTATTTTAGAATTTCTAGCAAGTGCTGCATTATTCATCAATCAAAGCTCAGACCACATCAATGCTTAAATCACATAATGAATTGCCCTAAAAGGCCACAACATTGATTGTCCCAATACCCTCACATTCGAACAAGAAAAACTCCATCCAAATATTGGGAGGAACCCTTTTCCAGGATGGACAGAACTCAGTAGATTTCAATCATACAGAATCAACTGCATAAGAGAGTTGCAACACATTAAGTTCAAAAGACCGAAATGATTTATACAACTAGAAAATGCATTTCCTGCAGAAAATAATGAAAGCTAAAAACTTTTTTTAAATTGCTGAAAATACTGACTCAATGTTCTATGTTCTAACATTATCAATCGGTCGCATGTTATTATAATCTAGAAAAGATTAACAGGCTTTATCTTTATCTACACATGGTATTATATGTACCAAGCTACTTAGTCCACTGAACCGTGGACGCCCACAGGCCTCCAGCCGGTCCTCTGGTCAGCCATCCTCTTTATCTGGACGGGAGTGAGCGATTTGCTTTTCTCATCATGGTCACCCTAAATGTAGTGCAGGAATAGAAAATAGTGTCTGCTACTCTGCTCTCCATCTTGTACAAGGAGTAGAATGTGAGCATTACTTTTTAGTGGTCAAAGTTTAGCCCCGCAACGGTTTGTTTTATAATAATAAACACCACTTTGTTTTAACTATATAGTAATGCTTTTACTTCCGTTTTTATTCATTTTATTGTTTGCATGTTTTGATTATTTGTGTGGTGGCTAATGTATTATTACAGTTGCGGTTTTATTTATCTATGTTTTTAATAAGTGAGTAGCTAATAGGGCTGTCAACGAATATTCTATATTGGAATATATATTCCAATAGTTGTTGAAAACAAATTGTAAATACTGTTGAAAACAACTATTAGAATGTGAAAATGAATATTCAAATGTAAATTTCCAAAAAAAAAAAAAACTGACTGACTGTATTGCAGCGGCTCTCGCTAATGAAGCTCCAGACAATGGACTCTTTTATGGCTTTTATTAATCGAACAGGCTACTGTGGGCCGTAGCCTAAGCCGAACAACACAAGCACCTCAGACTGAACTCACGCTCCCGCGTTACCTACTCCACCCGCCCCAAACATCCCCACAACACGTCCCCATAGGTGGCACTAGGATGATTGGCGTAACCTTTACTGAACATCTAAACATAGTAAATTGGGACTTTGCTTACTGAACACGCCATCCCTCAAAGTCCCTCGCCCCCGAGGGGGCAAACAAAATCTCTCAGGTAGCCAGGGGGCCTCTGTCCTTGGGAAGAAGGGAGTTGGTCAGTTTTTATGGGCGGTTGGAACCCACCCTTAACATAAAGGCGAGACGCACACAAACCGGCTTGTATCAAAAATACTATAGGGGTATTTTATTAAACAGAATAGATATTAAGGTAGTTTAATAATAAACTAAAACAAAATACAAATGCGGAATGTTTTCCACTACCGGGTGGACAGCTGAACGGCAATCTTGATGGCAGCAAGCACTGTTGTGCAGAGACTCTCTCTGTGTTCAGCTCACTGTTCGAACCAACCCAGGCAATAGAGTTCCAGCTACAAATAATCGTTATCTCCGACCGACGGGTACCTGCATGAAGATAAATTAGAATTACACCGAAAGATATATTTTTTTTAACTATAACCTAGATATAGGCCGCACAGGCCAGGAAATTTTAGAAATTTCCAATCAATAAGGACATGTGCAATTTTTCATAATAAACAAAACCCTTTTATATATAAAATATATTGCAGGGGAAACAAATGTCACTTAGTGATTTTCCATCATTCAAATATCTTTGTGTTGTATTGAAAGGTTCTCCCAGAGTTCTCCTGTTAATTATTTACAGGCCACCTAGATATTCTGCACATTTTTTCGAGGATTTTACTGAATTATTGTCTAGCATCTCTAGTGGAAACGGTGACAAATTTAAAACCATCCACCTGCTGTCTTGATGCTCTACCTACCAACTTCTTTAAGAATGTTTTTGACTGCCTAGCAACAGACGTATTGCAAATAGTTAATAACTCTATTCAGACAGGCCATTTCCCAAAAGCTTTCAAAACTGCAGTTATTAAATCTCTCCTAAAAAAGCGGAGCCTAGATGCCTCTATTATCAACAACTACAGACCAATTTCAAATCTACCTTTCATAAGTAAAATAATTGAGAAAGTTGTCCTACAACAACTTAATCACTTCCTGGCTTCAACTGGCTGCCACGACAATTTCCAGTCAGGATTTCGACCTCTTCATAGCACCGAGACGGCCCTTATTAAAGTTGTAAATGACATCCGTCTTAACACAGACTCTGGCAAAACTTCAATATTAATGCTATTAGACCTCAGTGCTGCATTTCATACTGTCGACCACTCAATACTTTTGGACAGGTTGGAAAACTGGGTGGGGCTCTCAGGCACAGTCTTACGCTGGTTCAGGTCATATCTACAAGACAGGAACTATTTTGTTTCCATTGGTGACTTCGTATCAGAAACAACCAACGTAACATGTGGAGTCCCCCAAGGTTCGATCTTAGGGCCGACTTTATTCAACATCTACATGCTCCCACTAGGACAAATCATGCAAAGAAATAAAATCGACCACCATTGCTACGCTGATGACACCCAAATCTATGTAGCGCTATCACCAAACGACTATCGCCCCATAGATCTTCTGTGCCAGTGCATTGAGCAAATCAAAGACTGGATGTGTCAAAATTTCCTACAACTAAATGAAGACAAAACTGAGATCATTGTATTTGGTGCTAAAAAAGAAAGGTTTAAAGTAACCCAACACCTTCACTCTGTCCCTGGAAACATCAAATAAAGCCAGAAATCTGGGGGTTATTATGGATTCAGATTTACACTTGGAGAGTCACATCAAATCAGTAACAAAATCGGCCTACTACCACCTCAAAAATGTAGCACGACTTAGAGGGCTCATGTCAGCTCAAGACTTAAACACTTGTACATGCCTTTATAACTAGTAGGCTAGACTATTGTAATGGTCTCCTTGCAGGTCTTCCAAAAAAAAACTGTCAGGCAGCTCCAGCTTGTTCAGAACGCTGCTGCTAGAGTTCTAACAAAGACCAAAAAATGTGAGCACATTACACCAATTCTTAAATCCTTACATTGGCTCCCAGTATGTCAGAGAATTAATTTCAAAATCCTACTGCTCACATATAAATCACTACATGGTTTAGGGCCAAAGTATATCACTGATATGCTTCCACTACATAAGCCTTCAAGATCACAAAGATCTTCTGACACCAATCTGTTAGTGATTCCCAGAGTAAATACAAATCATGGGAAAGCATCATTTAGTTACTACGCAACAAACAGCTGGAATAAACTTCCTGAAGATTTAAGACTTGCCCCAACTCTGACCACGTTTAAAACAAGACTGAAAACTTTATGTTCAGCTTCGCCTTCTGCTAAATTTTACCTACATTGCACTTTTAACCTCTGCTTTTAATTAAACAATTTAAGATTTTAATTTATAATTTTATTTGCTGTTTTTAATTGTCTTTTAATTCCTGCATTTTATTTCACTTTATTGTATGAAATGTTATGTGAAGCACTTTGAGTCTGCCTTGTGTATGAAAAGTGCTATACAAATAAAATTGCCTTGCCTTGCCTAACCTCGCGAGCGAGGAAGTTCACGTTTCGCAAGCGAGCAATACCTCGCTCGAGACGGACTTTTGACTGACTTTTGCTCGCGGTACTGCAGTATCTTATGCGCCTTGTTGTGCGGAAAACACTGCACATGAGCTCTGGAGAAAATGGTTTACAAAACATACATTGTCAGTTAATACATGTTTAATCGGTTAAATTCTTAAGGTCATTTAATCATCCGTGGTTTATGTTTTGATCAGAGTTGTGATTAAAGGTTTGGGTGGGCCGCAAAAGATTTTCAGATTTCAAAGTGGGCCGCAGCATCCTTGAGTTTGGGAACCGCTGGACTAACATGATAAAGACACTAGCTCCCCCTCCCCCCTGACCTCTACTCACTGTTAATCACTCACTCAGTCTATTTCTCCTCCTCTCACCCTCCCTCTCTCTATCTACGCCCCCCCACCCAATCCAATAATTTCAAAATAAAAGCCCCATGGAAAAGCCCTCAGGAGCCAAGCAGAGAGCCTCCTCTGCCCCCCCTGAGCAGCTGTACAGATGTGGCGGGGCTGTTTACCGTGGAGGGAGAGGTCGTCGAAGTAAGTTCAATCTTAGCCTGTGGCCGTGTAAATAAGGCAACAGGTTTAAAAATATGGTGCATTGGCATACATTTTTATTAACTCAAATCCAGTTTGTTTAGATTAGAAAGCATTTACGTAGATTGACGCTCCTTCTTTGTCACCTTTTATTGACGTCATAATTGCAGGTGCAACACAGAAGTGCTGCATTAAGCACGAGAGCATATACTTGTTCTACTGTGTGATAGAATTTATTTATTTATTTAGTAAACACTAAAAGACAAAAATAACCAGGCGATTTCCTGTCATTCGTGTGAGGAAGTGAAGTCACGTGTCTGCAGCTCAATGCGCAACATCACCGAAGGAACAAAGAGTCGGGTATGGCAGTACTTTGTGTTTGAGGCAGATGACGGTGGCGTGATTATTTTTTTGGTGGGGTTAGCCAATCAGTTTCAGTAAACATCCCAGTATGATTCAATGCAAAAAAGCATTTCAAACACGTATAATTACTCTGCAGTTAAATATTTAACATAACATCTTATTCCAACAATTCAGTATATTAATATACACATACATATATAAAACAATATGCTGAATATAACTACCATATCATAACTATTATAAATATACTACAATAAATAGCCCCACAAAACTTCATACATAATTAGTTATTTTGGATCAAATGTATGTGATGGTTGTGTGTCCTCACCTCAGTCCTGTGTGCGGGGGAGGTCCTCGAAGTAAGTTCAATCTTAAGGCTGCCGCATGTTTCTGCGTCTGCGTCGTTGTGTCGACGCACTCGTTTCAGTTCCTGGTTCTAAAAGTCTTGCGTGTGTTGCAGAGCAATTCACCTGCAGAACAACAGGTGGAGTAACGTGTTTTGTTGAAGACGACCTAGAGAGTCACGTCTTTGTGTGGAAGTTGTTGGTTGGTTTATTTACTCTGTCTTGTGGTCCACATACACCTTGGAAGACGGCAGAGAGGCGAGACACACAAAAACAGTTGATGGCATTGGAGCTGCTGAAGAGCAACTTCTTTTAATGAATCGCCAAGAACAGAAGAGGAGACTCAGGCGGTCTGTACGGCCACTAAATCAACCTAGGCCGTGGACGGGTGAATATTCGTCTGTTGTCCAACCTATGAGGAATATGGACGAAGAGATGCACTTTAAAGTATTTCCGCATGTTGGCTGGCCAATTCCACGACCTTCTCCGTTGTGTGCAACCGCACATACGGCATCAGGGCACACACAGCACGCCAATCGATGTCGCCTGGCACATATGCGTATGGCCACAGACTGGCTGTGGCCATACGCATTTTAGCCTCGGGTGGAACCCAACAGGCTGCAGCTGCGAGCTATAAACTGGGATCCAGCACGGTGTCCAGCATTGTTTCCGAGGTCTGCCAGGCTTTGTGGAAAGCGCTGCAGCCAGAATTCCTCCCTGTCCTTCAACCAGCCAGTGGGCAGCCATAGCAACGGATTTTTGGCAACTATGGAACTTCCCGAACTGCGTTGGAAGCCTCGACGGGAAGCACGTCAATATTAAGGCACCACCTCATGCTGGTAGTGATTATTTTAACTATAAAGGCAATCACTCCTTTGTCCTCATGGCAATATGCGATGCGAGGTATCGCTTTACAATGGTGGATGTCGGAGGGTACGGACGGGAAAGCGACGGCGGCATTTTCAAAGAGAGCAGTTTTGGCAAAATGCTGTTCGACC